AGAAATGGAAGTGAGAGAGATTCCTCCCACAACAGACCCTGCTCACCCTCCTACTCACACCACTGCTCCAAGAGCACTCAACCCTTATGGATTGCCTGCAGAAATACTTCAGTGCAGCTGACTATCTGGAAATTCAAATGGGGGCATAAAAGGGAGAGTTCATCAGTGGGAACACCTGTTGATGGTAATATCCAGCCACAGTTCTGGATTCCAGAGCAGCAGTCCTCTCCTTGATGGCCTAATCACCATGTTTTCCTTCAGAGGGAAATGTCTGTACAGTGTCTGTGATAAATTGAAAGGCAGATGCTTACTCCAGGAGCATCTCTAATGCATTGGTAGAGCCCTACACATTTGCAGATATCCACTTTATAGCTGTCTTGTCACAAACCAGTTCTACAAGCCAGATCCACAGGGAAGCATTGGAATTAGAGTTCATCCACAAATTCTGTTCACATGCTAATGGACTCAATTGTGATGAAAGTTGGTTGGGACACTACCAATTTAACAACCATTGAAGGTGCAGACAGCTCTCTGTGTTGTATCCTTCCTGACATGGGACTCTGTCTATTGACTTGGATTATTATCTGCTTCGGTTTAACTATCCCAGTGATCCCCAACTTTGTGGGGCTGCTGGGCACCCGGGGGCGGGGCCACCCATACACTACATGCCCGGTGCCAGTGCCACCCATGCACCGCACTCTCGGGGCTGGCACTGGCACCGCTCCTGTGCTGCACGCCTAGGGGTGGGGCCACCCATACGCCAAGCGCCCGGGGCCAGCGCCACTCCTGTGCCGTGCGCCCAGAGCTGAAACAGCCCATGAGCTGCATTCCCGGGGCCGGTGCCGCTCCTGTGCCACGTGCCCCCGTGCCTGGGACTGGTGCCGCTCCTGTGCCGCATGCCCAGTGGTGGAGACGCCTATATGCCACACGCCCGGGGCCGGCACAGCCCATGCACCGCGCGCCTGGGGGCGGGGCCACCCATGTGCTGCGCGCCCGGGACTGGCGCCACCCCTGTGCCCTGCGCCCGGAAGCAGGGCTGGCCCCAATCACTCAATGGGTGCACAGAAATGGCCCGGCAGGCGCCATGGAGCCCACGGGCACTGCATTGGGGACCACTGAACTATCCAATCTTCAGATATTTACTGATGCTCTGTCTTCCACCCTCCTCTTTTTTTCTTCCCTTCCTCCTCCCCTTCCCCTCTCCTATTTATTTCGGGTGCACACATCCCAAACTCATAACTCCAGTCATCTGAAGAAGTGGGCTGTGCCCACGAAAGCTCATGATACCATCTACATGTTTTGTTAGTCTATGAAGTGCTACCAGACCATTTGTTGTTTTCCTGTAACAGGCTAACTCGGGTACCCCCTGAAGCACTTTATAACCGCACCTCATTTTTGTGAACATGGATACAAATTTTGAACCCACGTAGGGCTCTGTGTTGGATCAAAATCCTTCCTGGTCTTAGTGGGTGCAGTTATTGTTGAAGTCAATGGGAGCTATGCCTGCTTGATGCGAAGGCTGAATTTGGCCAACAGTGTCTCTTTCGCACCCACAGTGCAAGCATTCACTGTAGCTGCTTCAGGCTGGGTGGGAGGGAGGAGGAGAGAAAGCTCCTGGAGTGTGTTGTGAACACTGAGAGCTGACAAGCATTCCTTGAAAAGCTCTGCTTCTCAACAGTTTTGAATTATAAATCATTAGCAGATAGCGTTCAAAGTTAGAGGTGGGACATTATGATGAGTGTGCTATCTATACGGTGGGGTGCAGGGCATTGTGGATTTTTCATTGGGGGATGAAGTAAGAAAAGGGGAGCTCTATGCTGAAAGCTGAGTTGGATCCAAAAGCTTGATTTCTCTGGGAGCTGCATCCCCAGGGAGTCATCTTGAGCTCGTTGATTTTGACTGTTTGGTAGATATTTGAGGACGGTGGCAATATCCAATGGAAACAAGAGAGTAGTTGCTGTTTTGAGTGTGTGTGCTTCTGATATTCGCTGAAGCGGGGAAGTAGAAAAAAATACTAGATTGTGTACCTGCAAAATAACAACAGACATCTTTACATAGTGCTTTTCGTTCAGAAGGATTCCACAGCCATTTACAAACTAGTCTGTATACTAGAATCACTTTCCCTTCCGATGCAGTGCCATCATCTCTGGGACAGAATACAGCAGCTGTTAAATACAGTAATGCTACAGTACATTGTAGCACAAATAATAAAGAGTATTAAATCTATTGGAAATTGCAGTGGAATTTAGAATTGCAGAATGTAATTACCCCAATTGGAATTTGGCTAGGACACAGGTGCTAACATCCCTGCTTTTGAATTAAGTGTTGTTGGATTTTTCATGATCCCAAATGGCTAAAATGTCAGTTTAATGTATCCTCTGAGGCTAAGTCTACACAGGCACTTTACAACATTGTAACTTTTTGGCTTGGGGTGTGAACCCCCTTCCTCCCCAAGCACACCCAAAGAAAAGCAAGGTGCAGCACTGTAAAGTGCAGTGTGAACCAAGCTACAGTACTGTTAGCTGCTCTTCTCGTGGAGGTGGTTTATATAGACTATAGAATAACAGTATCTATGCTGTGTGTGTGATTCTGGTATAAATGTAGCTTTTAAATTCATACCTTTCCTTAGATGGGGATAACTTTTCTTGTGTAGATAAGCCCTTTGAGAAGTGCGTCCCTTATTGTCTCACCAGCACAACTTCCTGCTGCACTTGTAAATCATCCCTCGTGTTTTCTCATTCCTATGCTGGCCAAGATCAAAGAGCATGGGTGGAAAATGATGAGCAGGCTAAATTTTGCTCTTTTGAATTATATTCTGCCTGCAGACTTTTTCTGCAGCGTCAGATTTTGTATTCTTCGCTTCCTAGGATCATAGAAGTTAGAGATGGATCATTACCCTTGCAATTATAAGCTAAAATCCACAGATAAAAATTATAGTAGATACTGAAGTTGGGTTTTCCATAGTGTTTGGCATAGATCTAAATCTGCTTCCACTGACTTCACTGGGAGCTATTGACCAGCGGAACGGAATTAGGTCCATGCTGAGCACATCTGGAAAAAAATCACGCCCAACATTTAGGCTACACTTGATGTTAACCAAAAGGCCGAGTAGCATATGTTGTATAGATTTGCTGTGAGTTGTTAAACAGCAGCTGTGTCCCACTCCTGCAGTGGCTGCATTTCAGGGTTGGGCGAAATGATTCTGGTGCATCTAATCTGCAAAGTATTCTGGGATCCTTCAGGATGAAAAGTGCTTTGTAAATGTTGTGATGGGTTATTCTTATCTCAGTTTCAGTTCCCAAGGGTAAGACTTTTTTGGGTTCTCTTTTTAAAGGTTATTTTCTTTTGAGAGTCCACCCAGCAGCTGTCTCTTACTCTTGTTTCCCCTGCTGCCTGCTGTAAATATTCGAACAGAGCAGCCACCGCAGCGGAACCGAAGGGACAGAGCTAGGTTGCAGTAGCAATGACTAGTCTTGTTAAAATGTAACAAGGTTGGGGGAGGGTGAGAAGGAAGAAAACTCCATAGCCTGGAAGAGAGTCTGTCTCATACTTGTAGTGGGTACCAGAGAGGAACTGGCAACCCCAAACCTGGCATAAGTGTGTAGCTGTACCTCTGAAACTCTGCAGCTAATATGAGTCAGTTGCTGGTTAGGGTTAGGCCTGTGAGACGAGACTGAAGGTCTGTGAGAGAGCCCATGGGCTTTTTGTTGAACCTCCTGTGCCCATCTCTCTAGTGCCCATGAGTACAAATACATGTATCCTCACAAGAACGTCTGCATCCTGTGCAAAATGTGGTTCTAGTGCTGCAGGCATATCTACACAGCAGCTGGGCAGTGTGATTCCCAGTGCATGTAGCCATAAATGCACTAGCTCTGCTTGAACAAGCACTTTAAAATAGCGATGTGGTGGCTCAGACTAACCTGTGTATATTCTTACCCAAGCCGCTGGATAGCTACTTGGGGCTAGCTAGCCAGAGAGTTGCCATGGCCACACTGCTGCAGTTAGGCATTATCTTGAGCAGGTCTTGTGCAGTGTTTCTCAACCTTTTTTTTTAATAAAGTACCCCTTTAAATATATATATTAAGTAACCCTGTACCTATAGTTTTCAGATACACACACACATTTTTTCTACCATTGCAATATATTTGTTTAAACAACTTAATCATAGCTGGGCGGGCGATGAAATTTCTGGGTGTAAAAAGTACAAAAATAATAAAGTGCTGTAAAACTTAAAACAAAAATTTAGTTTTCTCCAAGTTTCAGTTGTGTTGACATACTCCCCAGACTTCTCTCGAGTACCTGTAAAGGTACTTGTACCACTGGTTGAGAAACACTGACCTAGTGTGTGTCTGGGTATGTTTGTGCAGCAACCCTGCCATTCATTCCCCTGTTGTTGTGAGTCTCAGAACCTGTCACTGCTGGCTTAGGCTTAGGGGGCTCAGCTAAAGGGCTAAAATGGCAATGTAGACATTCAGGTGTGGGCTGGAGCCTTGGCTGAGACACCAAACACCCTCACTGGGCTTTAGAGCCTGAGCTCCTGCCTGAGGTACCCTGCTATCTGTAGCTCTGTAGGCCAAGCCCTGTGATTTTGATTCAGTTGATCTGGTCTCTGAGACATACCGGGGTGGGATTTTTTTCCCCCAGTGTAGACATACCATACTGGGCATTGTACCCATACTGGGCATTCCAGACCTATGCCCATCACTTCAACATTTCCTGCAGACTGTTTTCTTATGGCTGGCAGGGTTTGGGAGGTATATGTTTTGTTTATTTTTAGAGTTAGTCAAGTATCTTTAATAGCTCATGCAGCTTGATGTCAGTCAGGTTAATGGCAATCCTGTTGGATTGTAATGCCAGCTTTACTTTGGGCATTTATGGGACTTCGGGAGGAGGCAAGAGCCAGGGGAGCAGTGTACGCATTTTAGATTGCTTGGCACATTGTCAGTGCGAGGACTTCTTAGAAGTTGCCTATTTCATTGTTTTTCTCTTCTCTATTACAGAAAAAGCCATGGAACACAATTAAAACAATGGTCAATTTGCCTGTCATCAGTCCCTTCAAGAAGCGCTATTCATGGGTGCAGCTGGCTGGGCACACAGGTGAGAGGTGCAACATCAGATCTTTTGGCTCTAGAACAAGGAGGATATCAGACAGCAGTTTCTGTTGGTTTGAATGGGGGTTTTGTGAAGATGCTCTTCTTTTTGGTCATGGTGGGGGTACTGTGGGGTTGGTTCAGTTCAGGAAAAGCCAGTTATATCTGGACACCACATGCCTCTGCAGAGTAGAAGAATCTGTTTTTAGGTGAGGGATCTTAGGGATGGAGGAGAACAAGGCAGTAGTTTGGGACAAAGTCAGGCTGAAAGGAGTGGCCTCATAAAGCACATGAAGATAGGTACATGGGAAATCCATATTGGGGAAGAACCAACAAGAGACTGGGCGGAGATTGAAATGCTGCTGCCTCCCCAGTTGGTTAGAATAAAGGTGTATGCAGTCTCTTTCCTCAAGTGAGTAACAAGGGCAGCTTCTCCCTGTCTTACCTGGGGCAGGAGGTGGCCCCTGGATTTGCAGTGGGAAGAAGGATTCATGTCCATGTGTGCATGTTCCAGCCAAAGTGATGAGTGCATTTCTAATTCCATCCCCAAACCTCATCTGAATCTAACACCTCAAGAGGAAAACGAACCTGGTGGGAAAGAAAAGCTGAGCATGTGGGTGTTTGTGTTGAAAGTCTGTCTCGTTCGTGCATCTGTGGGAGGAGCAGGCGATAGGCTGCTCGGGCAACTTGAATCTACATTGGTTGGTGCCTGAAGCAGTTAACAGAAGTGCCCTGGGTCAAGTTTTAGGTCATTCATAAGGTAAATTATAAAATGGCATAATCAGATTTGCTTCTCTCTTGTTTCAATTGATTCCTGTACATCCCTTGCTCCTAAAGTGCTAGCATAGTGGTTAGCAATCTAGATAGGGTTGCCAGGTGTCCAGTATCTGAGCCCTCTGCCTGGTTTAAAAAAAAAAAAAAAAAAAAAAAATCAGACAATACCAGACACGTGCAGTGTCTGTTATTCTCTGATTTTTCCTGCTGGGCACCGGACGGAAGCCTGATGTGGGCGGCCCCGCCCCCGCCAGGCTTCTGCGCAATCACAGGCTCCCCGCGC